AACTGACGGAGCGGGGTCAGCGGATGCTGAAGCGCATAGTGCGAAGAGGTCGCCAACTTTCAGAGTCAATCACTACAGACCTCCAAACTTCATGTGGCCTTCAGATTAGCTCAAGAACAGTGCGCAGAGAGCTTCATGGAATGGGTTTCCATGGTCGAGCAGCTGCATCCAAGCCATACATCACCAAGTGCAATGCAAAGCGTCGGATGCGGTGGTGTAAAGCACGCCGCCACTGGACTCTAGAGCAGTATAGACGCGTTCTCTGGAGTGACGAATCGCGCTTCTCCATCTGGCAATCTGATGGACGGGTCTGGGTTTGGCGGTTGCCAGGAGAACGGTACTTGTCTGACTGCATTGTGCCAAGTGTAAAGTTTGGTGGAGGGGGGATTATGGTGTGGGGTTGTTTTTCAGGAGCTGGGCTTGGCCCCTTAGTTCCAGTGAAAGGAACTCTGAATGCTTCAGCATACCAAGACATTTTGGACAATTCCATGCTCCCAACTTTGTGGGAACAGTTTGGAGCTGGCCCCTTCCTCTTCCAACATGACTGTGCACCAGTGCACAAAGCAAGGTCCATAAAGACATGGATGACAGAGTCTGGTGTGGATGAACTTGACTGGCCTGCACAGAGTCCTGACCTCAACCCGATAGAACACCTTTGGGATGAATTAGAGCGGAGACTGAGAGCCAGGCCTTCGCGCCAACATCAGTGTGCGACCTCACAAATGCGCTTCTGGAAGAATGGTCAAAAATTCCCATAAACACACTCCTAAACCTTGTGGACAGCCTTCCCAGAAGAGTTGAAGCTGTTCTAGCTGCAAAGGGTGGACCGACGTCATATTGAACCCTATGGATTAGGAACGGGATGTCACTTAAGCTCATATGTGAGTCAAGGCAGGTGAGCAAATACTTTTGGCAATATAGTGTATATATATATATATATATATATATATATATATATATATATATATATATATATATATATATATATATATATATATATATATATACTATATATATATATATATATACTACTATTTTCTCACCCCTCGTGGGGTGGTATGTGTCATCCTCAAGCTCAGGTCCTCCAGAGACCTGTGAGTTTGAGGGTTCTGCACAGTATCTTAGCTGTTCCCAGGACTACACTCTTCTGGACAGAGACCTCTGATGTTTTACCTGGAATCTGCTGTAGCCACTCTCCCAGTTTGGGGGTCACAGCCCCCAGTGTACCAATTACCACTGGCACCACTGCTGCTCTTACTTTCCACATCTTTTCTAGCTCTTGTTTCAGCCCTTGGTATTTCTCAAGCTTCCCATGTTCCTTCTTGTTGATGTTGCTGTCGCTTCTTCTGCTGTTTGTCAATCTACACGATGTCTGGTTGGTTAGCCATCACCAGTTTGTCAGTGTGGATCTTGAAGTCCCATAGGATCTTAGCTCGGTCATTCTCAACTACCTTAGGAGGTGTCTTCCATTTTGACCTTGGGACTTCCAGCCCATACTCATGGCAGATGTTCCTGTACACTATGACAGCTACCTGGTTATGGCGTTCCATGTATGCACTTCCTGCCTGCATTTTACACCCTGCTGTTATGTGCTGTATTGTTTCAGAGGCATCTTTGCACAGTCTGCACCGTGGGTCCTGCCTGGTGTGGTAGACCCCAGTCTCTATTGATCTTGTACTGAGTGCCTGTTCTTGTGCTGCCATGATTAGTGCCTCTGTGCTGTCCTTCAGTCCAGCCTTTTCCAGCCACTGGTAGGATTTTTTTATATCAGCCACTTCTTCTATTTGTCTGTGGTACACGTCGTGCTGCGGCTTGTTCCTCCAAGATGGTTCTCCTTCATCTTTCTTGTCCTCACTTTCGTTTTTCTCCTGCCCGAGGTATTCGCCAAGCCATTTGTCTTTGAGGGCCATCTTTCTGATGTACTCCTGGATCTTAGTTGTTTCATCCTGGACAGTGGCCTTGACACTCACTAGCCCTCGGCCTCCCTCGCTAAGCTTGGTATACAGTCTCAGGGAGCTGGATTTGGGGTGAAACCCCCCATGCATTGTAAGGATCTTTCTCGTCTTGATGTCAGTGGCCTCTATCTCCTCCTTTGGCCAGTTTATTATACCAGCGGGTATCTGATGACTGGCAGGGCAAATGTGTTGATGGCTTGGATCTTGTTTTTCCCATTCAGCTGACTTTTCAGGACCTGCGTTACTCTTTGTAGATATTTGGCTGTGGCAGTCTTTCTTGCTGTCTCCTCATGGTTTTCGTTAGCCTGTGGCACCCCAAGGTATTTGTAGCTGTCCTGAACATCTGTAATGTGGCCTTCTGGTAGTTCAACCCCTTCGGTTCTGATCATCTTCCCTCTCTTTAAGACCATGCGACCGCACTTGTCCAGTCTGAATGACATTCCAATGTCGTTGCTGTAGATCCTGGTAGTGTGGATCAGTGAGTCGATGTCTCGCTCACTCCTGGCATACAGCTTGATGTCATCCATGTAGAGGAGGTGACTGATGATTGTTCCTCTACGGAATTGCTATCCATAACCACTCTTTGTGATGATCTGGCTGATGGGGTTCAGGCCTATGCAGAACAGCAGTGGGGATAGTGCATCCCCTTGGTATATGCCGCACTTGATGTTGACTTGTGCAGTTGGCTTTGCGTTGGCTTCCACACTTGTTTTCAACAGCTTCATTTAGTTCTTGATGAAGGCTATCAGTGTCCTGTTGATCTTGTACATTTCATAGAATTCCAGTATCCATGTAGTATCCATGTTTGTGGCATTGATATATATATATATATATATATATATATATATATATATATATATATATATATATATATATATATATATATATATACACTGCTTGAAATGATGGGCCGGTCACTTCTGGTGTAGCATATTTATTTTGTTCAACTGCAAACACAAAACACAGCGGTTACAGCAGCTGCTCTCAGTACTATCCGCTGTCTGCTCTGCAACGGCTGTCTTCTTCAGCTTGCCAGAACGCTAACCGTTATTGCATGTAGATCCAAGAGCGACACACCGTAAGCACACATTTTAACTATTAACATTACTCCAATACAACTTTCATTAAGTGAAATCAAACAATACATTTAGCCAAATTACTCCAATACAACTTTCCTCCTTTTCCTTGTCCTCCAGGGTCCGTAACATTGACAGCAGGGTACGGTTAAATCTCTCCACCTGTCCATTACCCTGTGGATGGTAGGGGGTCGTATGAGAACCCTGGATACCTGAGAGTTCTTTCAATCTTGCCATGAGTTTGTTGTCAAATTCTTTACCCATGTCATGGTGAAGTCTGGTTGGAAAGCCAAACTTGAGTGCAAAGTCATTAAAGAGCTTGTCAGCGACCGTTTTAGCTGCTTTGTTCTTCGTCGGGTAAGCTTGAGCGAACCTCGTGAAGTGATCCATGACAACCAGTATATACTCGTAGCCATGCTTGCACTTTTCCAGGTGGAGGAAGTCGATGGATACCAGCTGGAACGGGTAAGTTGACTGGATCGAGGTCAGAGGAGCACGGGTCTGCTTACTCGGCTTCTTCTTCTTGAGACACTCGCATTCTTCCATAACAAAGTGTTCAACATCCCTTGCCATCTGCGGCCAGTAAAACCTGTCTCTGATCAGGTCGAGTGTTCTTTCCACCCCTAAGTGGCCCATGTCTTTATGGAGCTCTTTAAAAACCAGGGGAAGATAGGCTTTCGGGACCAATAGCTGCTCTCGGTGGGCTGTTTTGCGGCGCAGGATACCATGTTGGTCGACATGCAGCTTCAACCACTGCCTGAGTAATGTAGCTACTACAGGAGTCTCCGACTTCACCTCGATCCTACTTGGTCTTCTACCCTGTGACTTGTACCAGAGCACTCTTGACAGGACCTCATCTGCTTCCTGGGCTGTACGGATCTCGTCTGGTGTAAAAGGCTGGTTGGTGTTAGTCACTGGGATGGGCACATATGGCACTGTTCTGTCTGGAATTTGCACCAGTACATCACTGAACATGACGCCCTCTGGTGGTGAGTCCACCGTGTCAGCTAAAAAAAGCATGTCTTGGCCCAGAACATGTGGACTAACATGCGCCCGGGCATAGACTGTGGTAACTTCACGTGCTCTCAAAGGTACTCTCTTTACTCCAGTCCTTACCACACCTGCATCTGAATCCCGTTTGCTGTTCTGCACCAGTTTGACAACATTATGTGCAGTTTGTACCGTTATTTCAAATGCTTTACTTACATAGTGTGCAAGTTGTTTTCTTCCATCTTTGGTCTTTACTTCTCTTCTGTTGACAACAGCTTCAATAACATTGTAGCCGATGATGGGATCACTGGCCACGGCGGGGTCACTGGCTACCAATATTGGCACTTGCAACTCACTGGTTGGGAAACAATCACTGTCTAATCTGAAGCTGACCTCTATCCAGCCAGTGTAGGGGATGGTTGTGTCATTTGCAGCGAACACTATGAGCGTCTCATCATTTAACAGTTCTGACACAGGTCTGACAACTGTGTGGGGGAGGTGGTCCTGCCGCCAGTTTTCATTTACAATGCTAGACTGTGCCCCCGTATCCCACAATACTTTGACTGGATGATTGTCCATAAAACAGTTAACAGTACAGCGGTCTCCCACCAGGCTCACTAACCTTGACTTGTGTTGAGGGGGTAGATAACGAACTTCAGTTAAAGCTGAAAAGGCAGCAACTGGCATTTCATTGGAAGATGGTGACGGGCTTGGCTGCTCATTATGGGACCGTGGATTCTGGACTACTGCTGGTCCCACCTCAGTAGCCCTTCCTCGTTTCCCATCAACGGTCTCGATGCTCGGCATCCACGAGAGTAGTGGCCCTCCCGTCCACACCTGAAACAGTGCATACAGTTGTCTCCTTTTCCCTCTTCTCTGCACTTCTTACAGCCTTTTTGTCTTTGTTTTGATGCCATGGTGTGGGAATTGGTTTCCATAGCAGCCACAAACATCTCTTTCATTTCTTTGCGAAGTTCTTCTACGATCTGCTGTGTGTCTGTTTTAGTCTCTCAATCAGTTCTTCATCTGTTATGGTCATCTTACTTAAGAGAGGCAGCAACTGATACTTAATGGAGTCACTGAGTAGCCCAGTTTCAATGGAGCGTAGGAACTTACGCTGAATTGTGGCTCTGCTGTACAGCTCATCAGTCTCCTCATTTGCTGCTTTCCATAGAAGTTTTTCTTTGAGCTCAATAGCACGAAATACAAAATTTAGGGCAGTTTCTTTGGGTTCTTGGGAGATATTGAGAAGCTGATGGTAAAGTTCAGTGGGGCTATCTACTCTGTAGTGTCCCTTTAGTATGGTGAGCAGTTTGCTTAGGGTTAACCCACGTTTTATCTCCAACATGTCTCTTAGGGGCATTCCTGGACTGATGGCCCTAATTACTGCTTCAACGATTTCAGTCTCTGGGTGTCCTTTTTCAATCCCATTTTCAATCTGGCGTACTAAACTGAGGTAGGACAGCTTATCCTTCTGCCCACTCTCTCCAATCTGCCCAGAGATTTTAAATTCCCTCCTCAATGTTACCTCCTGTAGAGTTTGTTTTGGCTCTGCTCGGGTTTTGAGTGGGTAATCTGTTGTCTGGACTGAAGTGGTGCATGGAACAGTATCCTCAAGGTCTATCTGTGGCCCAGACGCTTTAAATTGGGATTCCTCTTCTGACTGACCCATTACTTCACTTAGTCTCTGGATGTATGTGGCTGTTTCTCTATAAAACTGTTCCACCTGATCCCCTTCTTCATTTTTTTCTATCTCATCAAACATGTCCTCTGCCAACCCGATGAGTGTCCTTTTGGTTTTACCTTGAGGCTCTCCGCTGTCCAGGCTGGAACACTTCAGTCGCCTGCAGACGTCCACCAGAGGCCCTCTTTCCAGCTGCCACAAGGCTGCACTCACTCGATCGCGCAGAAGCTGTGCTGCGTCCATTCTTTTTCTGGTTCGTCTCTTGGGAAGGAAGGTGGTTGGTGATGGTGTTAATTCACTAGCGCCACCTCCTGGCTGGCTCGCCAAAATATGTTACACTGCTTGAAATGATGGGCCGGTCACTTCTGGTGTAGCATATTTATTTTGTTCAACTGCAAACACAAAACACAGCGGTTACAGCAGCTGCTCTCAGTACTATCCGCTGTCTGCTCTGCAACGGCTGTCTTCTTCAGCTTGCCAGAACGCTAACCGTTATTGCATGTAGATCCAAGAGCGACACACCGTAAGCACACATTTTAACTATTAACATTACTCCAATACAACTTTCATTAAGTGAAATCAAACAATACATTTAGCCAAATTACTCCAATACAACTTTCATATAGTGAAATCAAACAATACATTTAGCCAACATTTTCCAGCCCTAAATCAGCTGATCAACCTAACTAACCGAGTTTACATGAGCGCGAGCCGTTAGCCTTTTCACTTTAGCCTGATGCTACCGCCGGCTTCGTATTCAACTCGGTAACTTTGCTTCCCCGAAGCACCTCTCTCTGCCAGACGGTACCTAAAAGAAGCTACCAGCGCTATATCAACTACATCTTTTATTTATCACTCAGCTTACCTGCAAACACAAAACACAGCGGTTACAGCAGCTGCTCTCAGTACTATCCGCTGTCTGCTCTGCAACGGCTGTCTTCTTCAGCTTGCCAGAACGCTAACCGTTATTGCATGTAGCCTGAGCGCCCTCCGATGGCGAGATTCAGATACTGTCCAAGATAATACATTCAAATTGATCTCTGGCTGTAATCAATCTTTAGCGTTAGAAAAATAAAATGGGGGGCTACTATTTTCATGCCTTGTTCTCTTTCATAGTGCCACATATATATATATATATATATATATATATATATATATATATATATATATATATATATATATATATATATATATATATGTGTGTGTGTGTGTGTGTGTTCTCTTTGTTCTCTGTTCAGGATTATTGTCCTGCACAAAAATCACAAACACAAAAACTTGGCTGAGGTTCTACCTCCCATTCTTCTAAAATGAAGGCTTCCTATAACAGACAGTAAAAAGAGTACAATGAAACACAGCCCTACATCACAATATTCCTTCCTCCAACCTTCACTGCTGGAGCTTGTATGTAATGATGAAAACATTACTGGACAATGAAATCCAAAGGGGGACTTGTATTGTAACCAAAGCTGAACATGTTATTCCAGTGCTTAACTGCCTTGTCTGAATATTCTGTAATGAGCATTAAATAGGTTCTAAATGTGTTTTAAATTGCAATTAGAATTGTTTATCATGTAAGCATCTTATCTAGTCAAGTGCAGTACTTAAAAGCTGTTCTTGACAACATCTTTTATTTTGAAACCTTGCATAAGTAAAAAAAAAAAAAAATAGTAAGAGGAGTAAGATCAACAAAGAAACAAAATAATACAGTTAAATGGCATGACTCCTGCCTGTTATTTTTGTTTTTCGGGCTGGCTAGATGCTCTACTCTCTTCTCTGCTCAGCTACTTTGCAGCCACTATGCTGTTCAGTAACATTTAGAGCTGCGCACCAACTACATGCGAGTCCAACACAAGATGTTGTCTGAGAAACATTCCCCCTCATATTATGAACAGGTTGATCAAACAGCACAACTACAAATCATGTGATTAGTAGCAATTTTAGCTTCAGTTGTGTGAAACTTTTAACTCTAATTTCTATTTTGTAACTTGAAAAATTTAATGAAAAGGTATTCTGACAAGAAATGTATAATTTGATCAGTGTGGCATTTACACTGAGGTAGAAAATGACTGGTTAGCTTTTATATTGTTAAACACTTCATTGAGAGGGACATGTCCATATGAGGGAAATACTTTTCAAGACATGCAGACATTCGATGGTTCTTTTTTTCACTCTTCAATTCTGTGTATTTTACCATATCAACTGCTGACATTCAGTCTGTATTGAAAAATAATTAAACACCACACATATCAAATAAAATGTCTGTTTAAATCTGTCTGTTTTTCTGTGGATAATCTCTTTTTTTCTGGTTTTTCTGAAGCCCAGTCTGAGCTCCCCTCTGTGAGCTCTGCAGGGCTTGGCATGGCTCTGGCTGACAGTTTCACAAAAATACTTTCATCCCAGTTAAACTCTGATGGCTCCATTTGATGGTGATATAAAAAAAAAAAAAAAAAAGCTTGGCAGAAATATTGAAATAAGGTCACTATTAAAAAGCTGTGAAACACAGAGACTCATTACGCCTACTAAGTTTCTCATTACATCTATTCAAATTAAGGAAACAGCTAACTGTAATGTAACTCTTGATGAAGCTATCTTTCACACTTAATTTAGTACATTATGTTTTTATAAATGCATATTTGAAAGGAAAAAAATTTAAGAAAAGAAAAAAAGCATAACTTTACTTTGAGAACAAACTGCATAAGAAAATAAAAGTCAATAAAGGACAAAAAACCCCATTATATTTAGATATGGTTTATCCACGATAGCTGCTGCTATAGTTAAGCTTAATTTTAATTAAGTTATCTTTCACTGTGACAAAGTGCTCATTATACAGAAGACTGTATCATTAGAAATGATTAATGTACTAATATCCAAGGGCAGACAATTAGTATTGTAGAAATTATTTGACAGACACATTCTTGTAAAATCTTTTTTAATTACATTGTACTCATTCATATCAATTGCTGGTCATGTGGTCATCTTTTAACACTAGTAAAAACAAAACCATAGTTCAATTCTGAATTTGTTTTGCAAGAAAAAAGAGGCAAAAACAGAAAGACTGCCAGGAATTTCATATCGGTTTTTCAGCTCTTAGTCTCCAGTCTGATATTTTGCAAGGCACTGGACAAATAGGTAGAATCCATTCTTTAAAAAAAAATCACAATATAAAACAGAACAATCCTGTATGTATTTTAGATTTGCATTTAGATTTTAAATACAGCTTTAATATATCAATTCCAGTTAAATAAACCATTCATAACATTCATAGTGTCATTATCTCAGCACTGTCGCCTGGTCTGATTACTCATTTCACACACCTGTTTAGCCCCACCCAGTTCTCGTCACTGCTCATCTGATCCACCAGCATTTTTCTCTATTTAACCAGCTTTTCAAACCAGTTATCAGTGCCAGATTATGCAAGCCGGGAGTGACAATTATTCTAGTGTACTTGTGTTCTGACTACATGATCCTGACCTGTTCTGCCTCTCGACCTTTGAGCATTCCTGTTCCCATCTGATCTGGCTCTGATAACTAAGTTAGACTAAGACAGCTTTTATTGTTATTAATTAGTTGTTAATGACAATAATAGTCACCAACTTCAACTTTCGCTTCGCCCTCGGGATCATCCTGCCTTCATCCGTCTGCTCATTTCTGATCTCCTGCCTGTCCTCTGATCTGCCATGCCACAGTGTCTGGGACTCTTTCTACAGCAATCACTGTACCGCGTTGGCAGCCCACCGGCTGGAATCATCCTCTACCTTTGGACTCCAACTGAAGTGTAAGACCAGGTTAGTGACTCATTAATTCAACCACTTCCATAAAGACGTGGTCACTAAGCTGCTGTCTCTACCTGCAGAGGTTCCTGGCTTAGATGCTGACGCGCTTCAACGTGGTTCTACTTTCAAGGACTGAGCCTTGACACATAGATTGAATAGCTTAATTCTCTAATCAGCCATTTGCCATTGTTGTCTTCAGTAGATGTCTTAAAATGAAATGGGTATCATAGATCTTTATTTAGCAGAGTTATATCAACTATTTACTGTAACATTTTTCTGTCACGATCTGGCCTGTTTGCTGTACCGTAATTGGTACCTTAATTGCCCTTAGGGCAAATATTTTGCTGTGTCACATTGCATCATTATAATTAAAAACTAGTACTCATCATATGAAGACCTGCTAGGATATAACTGTTGTTTTTGTGTTTGTATATTGTATTAGTTTAATGCAAAACATAATCTTTTTGACATCTACTTTACATTGTTAAACAAGTTGCAGTCCAAAAAACAAACCCTGATAACCAATATTTAGTGTAAGGGATGACGCCTGAACCATTGATTTTGTGTTGCATGTAAATGATTTTGTAATAAAGCATCCTTTTCAGGGTGTTGTGCAATTATACGGATTTAATTGCAGTTTTATCGAGAACTGTAACAGAGATGTCCCAGAGCAGTTGAGACTTAAATGAAAATTGGTTTCCAGAAACAGAAAGCCATGTTTAAAGGCCACAGCTAAAAAAAAGCAATACACTCAATTAGCCATCATGACTTATTTTTTAAAATGTGCTTAGACTGAGAATGCTCCTGGAGCTGCGCTACACAATGACGATCTAGGTCTACGCCTGAGAATGGAGCAATGGAAAGTTGTGGTAACGGGATTGTGTCTAAGTTATTTTGGTTCAGTTCAATAAAACAAATAAATAAATACATTGGAAGGCGCTGGTGCATCACACTTGGGCAACTCCTCCAGTCAGTATCCTCCGTTTATGAACTAAAGCAAACTTGCCAGTTGTGCCTTTCAATAAAATTTTTTCATAGCCATGTAGTTTTTTGTTTTTTTTTACAATTACACAAATGTTAGCTCTGTTAACGGTTATTTTTATATAATCCAGCTAAAAAGGCTGTGATATTTTATTCTGAAAAATTTGTAAAATGGATGACTTTTGGTCATTTACTAATGGATATGGTTATATTAGAAGGCAATCATTTAGAATTCTATGAATTTAGTTCACACATCCCTTTCTAATTTTTATTCTCACAATCTGAAGTAGTTTTATATTTTTCATGCTTGCAGTTAATATAGCTAGTGCCTATTTATCATAATTTAAAAAAATCACGATCTGTGGTCTTTAGGGGGAGGTGGTCCAGTCATCTCAACTGTGGATGAAGTGGAGCTGTAAGTTTTGAAGTGTTACCACCAACAACAAAAGAGCTGTAGTGAGTCAATACAAAAACACTCATTGAAATTTAAGATAGGGTTTGAGCTGCATTTATCCCAAATGTCTAACTGTGCTCCAATCGTATGTGGGTTTTGCAAAACATAGCCAGCCACATAAAAAAGGACAAAATCCCATTGCTAAGTTATGCTGTGATCTCTGTACCTTTTCCAGCACTAACCAACATCAAACAATACTTTCTTTCTCTAAAAACACAATTAAGAACACAAGAGACTTTGAATTGTCCACTTGTGGGGTGCTCTTATAAGTCTAGGTTAATCTGAACTTTTACTGCACATTAGAGTCCATATCATCATCATACAGCAACATCTGTTAATTTCAAACCTGACCTTGTTGTAAAATGTCAGAGTCAGACCTTTATCACTTTGTCACAACACTTGGATGATTTAGTGTCATCTGATTTATCGTTGCCAGACTCTGAAATTCAACCTGTTCATAATTCCATTCAGTGGCGGATTGCGTATCTCTTACTTTGCATGCAGGTCTTCATGTGTCTTAGTCAGCAATTCCAATATTGTTAGCTACTTCTTTGATGTACCGGTAGGTGAATGTGTAGAACAAATAACTTGGCAGACAACTGAAAATATTTTAAAGGAGTTTGACTGCACATCTGAGAAATTGATGGCATATTGAATTGAAGCATCACAGGGTGCAAATTCACTCAGTTAGTATTAAGAGAGGGACCTTTAGGCACAGAATTTAAAAGGCAGTCATTTTATGAAAAACACTTTACTGCCTTTCTGAATGTTGTCTAAGTCCCTATTCTAACAGTAATTTCAGAAATTCTCAAAATAGACACTTTGGGCTGTTCAAGTCATGTTTGGATGGTGAGTACTTAATAAAAAAATAAAATTATTTTAAATTAAGATGTCTGTTATTGCATAACT